GGGGGAGCGCCGGGAAAGCCGGCCCGGGCCAACGCCTGGTGCTGCGGCCGTGGTGGGACACGTGGCCATGGGGCGGTCACAGCGGGGCCCTGGGGACGGCAGGATCTCGGTGCTGAGACCTGGGGGCTGCCTGCGCACGTAGGAGCGGGGCGATACCGGCTTTGAGCCCTCATGGGAGAAAGGAGGTGAAGCTGAGCTCTCTTGTACAGGGTGTAATGTATATATAGGGCATAATATGTGTATATTGGGTGTATATATAGGGTATAATATACATATATTTGGTATATGCAGGTTATATATAGGTATAATATACATATGCAGGGTATATATAGGGTATAATATACATACATAGGTTATATATATAGGGTATAATATACATATATTGGGTATATGCAGGGCATAATATATATATTGGGTACATGCAGGGTATAATATATATATTGGGTATATGCAGGGTATATATAGGGCGTAATATATATGTATTGGGTATATGCAGGGCATAATATACATATATTTGGTATACGGAGGGCATAATACATATATTTGGTATATGCAGGGTATATGCAGGGCATAATATATATATATTGGGTATATGCAGGGTATAATATATATAGGGTATATGCAGGGTATATATAGGGTGTAATATACACGTATTGGGTATGTGCAGGGCATAATATATATATATTGGGTATATGCAGGGCGTAATATACATGTATTGGGTATATGCAGGGCATAATATATATATTGGGTACATGCAGGGTATAATATATATATTGGGTATATGCAGGGTATATATAGGGCGTAATATATATGTATTGGGTATATGCAGGGCATAATATACATATATTGGGTATATGCAGAGTATAGTATATATATTGGGTATATGCAGGGTATATATAGGGCATAATATACGTATATAGGGTATATAGCGGGTATAATACATATGTATTGGGCATATGCAGGGTATAATATATATATTGGGTATATATATTGGGTATAGATAGGGTATAAATATATATAGGGTATATGCAGGGTCTAAGAGCTGGAGGAGCACTTGCAGGGTGCCGTGGGCGCGGAGAGGGGCAGAGGGGAATAACCCAGTGACCTTTGTTACCCCTGTCACCTTCGGGAAGTGCGGGATTAAGGCAAAGTCCTCCTGCGATAAAGCAGGATAACGCCATGGGGCTGTTCGGCCTCTCCCACGGTGCAGGTGAGCTCCCAGGGCACCTCCATGGGTCCCCAGAAAGCCCCGGGCTGGCCCTCGAATTCGGAGCCGCGGCGCAGCTGGAGAGCTGACGTTTTTCGGGGCGACAGCCCTCGCCGGGGGCGATGCCCGAAACACTCTGTAATTACGTTGGGCAATATTTAGCGAAAGTGCCGGAGCTGACCGAGCCGGCGCCGCAGCTTGTTTGGAGAGCTTGAAACGCGCTTTTTCTTTCGGCACAGGAGCAAATTGCACCTCCGAGAGGTTGAGATCATTGAGTGTCAGAAGGGAGGAGGGCGTAAAGGTGGCACCTCGGCCTCCTGGCTCTGTCCCTGTCCCCCCGCACGGCTTCCAGCCCCTCCTGGGGCGAGCAGATCCTCCCCTTCTCTTGCCTGTCCTTATTTTCCAGTACATTAAACAGCCTTAAATCACGGAGCTCGGATTCGTGCCTGTCCCGAGGGCACGGAGCCCGTCCCGGGGTGCTCGTCCCTCCCGCTTGCAGGAGCTGGTGGCTGCTGGGGGCTGGCGAAGGGAAGGGGCTCGGGCTGCGCTCACCAGTGCCCAGGGGGAAGGACTGCACGAAGCAGCTCTCCCGCTTTTCTGACGGAAATTTCCTTAGCAGACAGCGAGCAGGACAGGATCAGTGTTTTCTGCCTTTGCTTTTTGTTTCTTTTTTTTTTTTCCTTTAGGGGAGCTATTGTTTATCAGTTACGGTGCCAAATTGTTCCAAATTTTATTTATGTTCCTTCAGCGTGACCTGTTTCTAAATTTACTCACCTTGAGCAGCCGTGTGCCAGGGCGTCTGGGTAAAGCCAGGCTGGAAATAGCTTCCTGGGGCGTGATGGGCGCTGCAGCCCGAGCAGCTCCGGGGAAGGGGCAGAGCTGCTGCCCCTCGGGCAAAGCTCGGGTTTTCAGTCCCCTCCACATGCTACCAGGGTGCAAAAGCTGCTTTTTCTGCCCCAAACCACCCCTGGAGCTGCTCTCACGGCTCTCTTCGACGTGGTTTACACACGCTGGGGCTGGCTGGGCAGCGCTGTGTTGCCGCATCGTCGCGGTTGGGTTTGGTGCCCTCGGGGTTCAGGGTGCTGAGCCCGGGCTCTTGCTCCCGGCCGGTGGAGAGACCCTTGGGCTGAATCCGGCGTGCAGATCCCACGGGATTTGTTTGCTCTGGCTGGCATCTCGGGTACGTGCCTTGCCTTCGTCCTCTGCTGTCGCTCAGCGGCACGTGGGAAGCGGGCAGGGGTGAGAGCGTGACAGGAGGACGTGGACTTTGGATGAAGTGACACCAAGTCTGTCAAGGGCTTTTTTTTTTGTGTGTGGGGGGTGTTTGCTTGGTTTTTTAGCACCTGGGAATGCCCATCTGCAGAGGGGCAGAGGAGCAGAGGCGGTGTCTGCCTCACTGAGGGCACGGGAGAGCTGGCATGGGGGTGTCTGCGTGGTGCTGGCGTCGCTGAAAGGGTGGGGAAAAACCGAGGAGGGGACAGAAAAGGGAAAAAAAACCATTCCTGGGTGAGGGCTGGACGGCACGGCTTGCGCTGGGAGCTGGGTCTCGGGCCGTTTAGCCCATGGGAAAGAGGAAGAGGTGTGTTTGATTACAGGGCAAAAACATTTCTTGGAAAGTATCGTGGGTGTTTAGAGGGCAATCTCCTGCCCTGGAGAGAGGGAAACCAGAGCCTGAAGACTGGCTGGGGCTCGTTGCTCGGAGCAGTGCCTTCGAGAGCCGAGCCGGGCAAGGGTGTCCCCTGTGTCCTGTCCTGCTGCTGAGGGAGGGGGGCTCTGGGGACGGTCTCGTGCCAAGAAACAAGCCAGATGGATTGGAAATAGGATAATGGTGGAACTGGGACAGAGGGAGAGCTTTCGTCCTCTCCTGTCCAAGGCAGGTGGGTCACAGGGGAGGAGGCAGCTCTACCCCCAGGGAATTTTACTCCTTGCTGTGGTGACAGAGCTGAGACCCCTGAGACCTCGAGCGAGGGGGTGTTTGGGTCCCAGGTAGTGACCCTATTGCCTCTCTTCTTTCCCCTTTCCTAGTCATGGGACATTTTCTTTCGCAACGCCAACGCCGGAGCTGCTCCAGGCACCGCTTACCAAAGCCCCCCTCCGCAAAAAAAAATCTTCCAAGCCCAGTTCGCGGTTCAAGCGCAACCCAACGTCGATAAGCTGGTGGAGGATCATCTCGCAGTGCAATCTCTCATCAGGGCGTATCAGGTAAGGGGACGGGCTCCGTTCCGAGGAGGAGCGTGGCCTCCGGAGAGGGGCATGCGGTGGCCCAGGTGGGCTGGGGTCGGTGCGGCTGCTGCACGTGTTTTGCCTGGAGAGCGTGCAGGACGCGTGCTGGGCTGCCTGGCGTTTGACAGGAGCTGCTGATCTGTTGGGGCAGAAGCTCAGCGGATGCTTTGCCAGACAATAGGAAGATTAAAGCTATCGTCACCCAAACAGAGCGATTGTGGTGGCAGGGAGGGGGAGGTCTGCTCCCTGTAGGGTGTTTTGCTGCCTTCTGGAATGATGCTTGTGTGTGGTGGGCTCCTGCTTCCCCCACATTGCCGAGGGAAGCTCTGAGATCCTGAAATAAAAGCTCAGGAAACATTTCCTTGTGATTTACGACCTGGAAGAAGGCTGTGGTGCTGCTGGGCTGACGTCGGGCTGACGCTGCCGAAGTCAGGAGCGGGAAGGAAACGTCCTCCGGCCACGGGATGGCCAGCCGATACTTTGACTCGAGGGAACACTGAAGTGTGTCTCTGCATCTGCGTCATCCTTTCGCCTTTGGTTGCACTCTGGTTTGTCAAGTGTGAGGGCTCTAATTGGGAGCTGTGGTGAGAAGTTCACAAACGCAGCCGCCGCGGAGGTGGGACCGTGGTCTGCTCGCCTGTTCCTGCAAAGAAGTACCCGCTGTGGGTCACGTTCCTGCTCAGGTGTGGGGAAAATCCAGCGTAGGAGGCCACAGGTTAAGGCAAGAACCGCAGCGCCGGGCAAGTCCAAAGGTCTGCCCAGCCTTGGCCCTGCTCTCTGGCCGGAAGAAAGTGCCCCTGCCCTGCCCGCCTCCGCAGCCGAGGCGCCGACG